ACTGTAAAATCAAGGCCAGCCTGGGCTACAAAGTGAGTTCAAGGCCAGCCTAAACAGCATAGCAAAAATCCTGTCTCAAAAAAAACAAAAAAACAAAAAAACAAAAAAACTTTTACTTTGCTCTGAGATCAGCCATGTCAAGCAGCTTTCAGAAGTTTCTGACTTTGAAAGTCAGAAACTTTCAAAGGACATAGCAGCCTCCTCCTACTAACAACAGATACCACCTAAATAAGTAGTAATTATCCATGCATTTTTGTGGCCAAAACCGAATAAACTTATCATAACATTTACCATATTAACCACTGCCAAGTGTACAGTTCTATAAAGTATATGTACATTGTCATAAATCACCACCAATAACCCTTTCCAATATTTAAAAACTTTGCAATAGTGAAACTCTATATCCATTTAAAATTTTCTTCCCTCCTTCCAGTCCCTGCAAAAACTGCTTCTGCTTTGTCTGAAGGCAAAGGTTCCACCTACAAGAGGAGTCATACAGTCTTTGTGATTGGCTTATTTCACTGAGCATAATTTACTCCAGGTTCATCCACGTTGACCAGGTATCACAATTTCTTCCTTTATAAAGGCTAAATAATAGTCCATTGTATATACAGTTCTGTGTTTTGTTTACCCACTAGTCCATGGATAGATACCTGGGCTTCTTCCATGCTTTGGCCACTGTGAATGATGCTGCTGTGAACTTGGGAGGGCAAGTATCTGTTTCAGACCCTGCTTTCACTTTTTGGGGAATATCCCTAAAACTGGAATTGCTGGATCATATAGTAATTTAGTTTTAGGGTTTTTTTTTTTCTTTTCTTTTGAGAAACAATGGTTGTTTTTAAAATTTTAGTATTGACAAAGTCCCACTGGGTGGTACAGAAATGATTATCAGAAATGGTTATTACCTCTTGAGAGCTGAAATGAATTTAAGTCTTCAAGAGTGAAAAATCCACTGAGACTTAGATATGTCACATAAAATGTTTTAAGGAGTCACATTTGTTAATTCTGGAGAACTATAAGCACAATCTTCAACTGAAAAGTATGAAAGTCAATGGAATTGAATATGCTTTGAACACTTAATCTAAGAACCTAGATAATATATGTACATACATATTTAAGTCTGAGATCTAAATATTAGAAGGAATATTAGTGTTAAGGGGAAGCTTATAAGACTACACAAAGCAAATATATTTATTGTATTTTCAAAAAAATCATGTCTGTGCAGTGACAAAGATACAAAGAATATTATAGAGTCATGTCAGAACTGGGTCATGAGAGCTAACAGTAAATGAATTGTGAATCTGGATATGTCTTAAGTGTTTCCTTATAAAAACAGATTCAGTTACTATTCACTCAAAGAACCAGCCATTTTAGTAAAAAGTAAATTAAGGGCCAGGGATTTAGCTCAGTGGCATAGGCACCTGCCTGGCAGGCATGAGGTTGTGAGTTCAATCGCCAGTACCAACACGAAACAAAAGCAAAAAGTAAATTAAAATAGCACTAAAACAAAACCTCTCGCCTAAATCCATTCAGGGGGAAAACATTAAGCTGAGCACCCAGTCTTTTTTACCACTCCAGGAAACAAGTGAACAATACTGTCTTGTATTTCAGGACAAGATGTGTATAACACTGAAGAAGAATAAGAATATACCAAAATATCTGAGATGGTTTTGTAAACACCTCAGCCTGGAAACAGGTGGTATTCTAAACAGGTGCTGATTACCTGCTGAATTTCTGCTTATGTTCACTTACCAAGTGTTTTTCAATTATCATTTATACTCTGATTAGAAGCGTGGGAGCCAAAGACAACACATCAGGTATCTGACAGACAAGGACTACTAGCTAACAGACCTGCGCTCTCACATGCAGGCATGACCTGGTATTGTATCTTTTTCTCTCAGCACTCTGCCAACACTGAAATCATCTAGTATGTTGGTCACACAGAGCTAGATGAAAAAGCTATTTCGGTATTGTCATAACCTAGGACCACAGATATTACCGCTCTGATCACACTGAGATAAGCAACACAGAATATAATATGCAATAAAACTGTCAGAAACGGTTTCAAGAACTCCTGCCTCTTAAGCGTAGCTTACCACATCTGTGGCCCCTACCTGTGATATTTAGAGGACAAAACTTACATTGCACCTCTAAGTCTTGGGGCTGCCACATGCTCCTCTGTGATGCTATGTGTTCAGTAATGAAGCATACTCCAACATGGAAGAGACCATGGGAAAAACCCAGAGACTAAGTTTAATTCCCAGTTTTCTCAGATACAGTGAGAGCTCTAAGAGACCCCAGCTTCTTTACAGCAGCGTTAAAAAACAGGGTTAAGTTCATTATGCATGTTGTAATTTCCAAGGCAGCCACATATTAAATCAAGAAAAAGTACCTAAAAATTAAATTAGTAGATGGGAATAACTGAAGAAAAATTGAGAATCTACCAGAAAGCAAAATAGAAAAAGTGGTAGAGGGAAGAAAACTAATACCAATTAGGTAGAAAAAGTTCTAAATATCTACCTACAATAAATGTAAATATCCTATTTTAAGTGACCAAGACTGCCAGGCTAATAAAATTTAAACAATAAGTTATTAATAAGAGATGTAAACCACAGAAGAAAATGACTGACAGAGATGCTCTGAATCTTACAGCAGCCCTTTCATATGCTAAAGATTCCAATTACATATAGTGGACCCTCGAGTTACCAACCTGACAGCATTCTTTCCTGTGTGGGGTTAACTGAGAAATCCTGAGCCAATGTCTAAGGACACTGGGATTTGCCTGTATGCAGGAGAGAGACTCTGAAGGTTGTATAGAGAGCCTGAGCTTTCAATCAGTAACCAGTCTTTGGGGATGAAGTGACTTTGCAAGGCAAGGGTCCACTCATACAAAGTCACACCAATGCTAAATTTAATTAAAAAAAAATTCTGAGTATAGGACCCAGAGTCTCACACACACAGTACTAGGCAAGTGCTCTATAACCAAGCTGTATCTCCACTGTCCAAATCTAAATTTGCACTCCTTACACAACAAAGTATCAAAAAGTATAAAGCAAAACAACCAGAATTTTAAGGAAAAGTATGGGAAAATCCAACATCAGAATGGAGAATGATTCAAATTCTCTCAACACCCTTTTCCTCACTCCAAAATGCAGAAGGGTACAGATTTGAACGTCATAAACTGAACCAAAAGCCCCATAAGCAACACCATATGAAATATCAACAGAATATACATTTATGTGTATATGTCACAATTCAGAGACAAAAACACTCATCCTGGAATGTTAGCTGGATAGAGCAGCAGCTGACCCAAAACTAACAGATGAAAGGTGTGACATTTACTGTGGTGGTGTAAGTCAAATGACAGGAATTTAGGGGTCACTCTGACATAACAGAATAAAAGCTAGTATGTCCAGTTCATTATCTAATTATCCTTTGCAATTAACCACTTCTGTCAATGACAGAAATATGTGAATCACATTAAGAATTAAAGAAAAAAATTCACAATATTTACAGCACTGTTTCTATTTTAACAAAAGGAAATGTTACCTGAATTAACTGGGGATTTATTTTGGGTACTCCTAATTTTCTATGTACAGACAAGGAAGGTTTAATGTTCTGAAAACTAAGATGATGCAATGAGATCAATTAAAACCTAACAAATTCAATGAACTGTTTTTGGAAAATACTGATTATGTGTTATAAATAGGCTTAAGAAAAGATGAATTTTTTTCATGGAGTTTAAAAAGACAGGGAATTATCACACTAAACTTGTTATTAAAATTCACAAAGTGCAGTCTTTGAAACTGTAAGTCTTTGAGTAATATATAGTATAGAGCCAGAATACTTCAGAAAATAAATTATATAATTCATTAAAAATATAAATGTTAAATATACTACTTTCAAACTTGTTGGGAGCCAGCGCTAGTTCACCATGCGCGGCGGTCATGCGGCCTGTAGGAAAAGGCAAAGCCTGAGCTAAATTACCCCTCCCATCGAGTGAGCCAAGATGGCGCCTGCTTCTTGCCCCCTGATTGCCCTGGCGACTTAAACAGCCCGCGCAATAGATTGGTCTACCTAGCAACCAATGACGATGACCAATCAGCTTGCATTGCTTGCTGTTGCCCTATTGGATGATGAGTCCATATTTATAGATATGTGACCCTCCCTGTAAAGGAGATAGAGGAAGTCCACCGGTGAGAAAGGACTGGTGGCAGAGCAGAGGCCTCGCGCGGCCCACGCGGAGACAAATAAAGACAAGGTTGCACACCGTCAGAATTTGTCGTGTGTTCTTCCTGCCGGCCGGGAGCGACACCGACACAAACTGATAGATCATGGGTATTATATTGGTAAAGGAGTATTCCTGGGCTTCCTCAATGGGGAAAACTAGAATTTCAAGGTGCCAGGCCCAAGTGAAGAGCTCAAGGTCTCAGGAAAAACAGGTATACTTAACACACAACATTTTTATGGCTCCCTAATGCTCCACCCCAGCCATCCTTTAAAGTGTGGACAAATACTAGTACCTAACTCAAGGGTTTTTTTGATTCAGTGTGTTAATGGGAGTAAGAACCTAGCACAGAGTATACAGTAAAATGATACAATGATCAAAGGTAATAAGCTAATATAACACAAAGATCTTCAAACAGGGACAGCCATGCAAGTATTTCCATCCAAGTCCACTATGTCTATGCATCAAAAATAGTTGGATAACTGGGCATGGTGGCTCATGCCTGTAATCCTAGCTATTCTTCAGGAAGCTGAGGCAGGAAACTACAAATATGAGACCTATCTGGGCAAAGTGGTAAAACTCTGTTTGAAAAATTAAAAAGGACTGGGGATATAACTAGGTAGGTTCAATCAACAGTACTAAAGAAAATGGGCTTGAGATGTTACCTGGTGCAAAAGGCCTAGGTTCAGATGCAACACCACCAAAAACAAAAAAAAACACCCTGGATATAACCCTCTTATCTCTTCAATTTGAATCTCTACTAAAAACTTACCAAGTCGCAGAACTCAAACACCAGAAGATACGGAATTGCTTCTACACACTGTCCAACACACTGGAGAATATTTGGATGCTGAAGAATACTGGTCAAAATAAAAGACACAGTATTATATTCATCAAGAAGCATGCTAGAAAAACTGTCCAAATAGCAATTCGAGTTTTACCATTCATATGACTTAAATATGCATAACAAACTGAAAAGGTCATGTTAAGATTCTACTGAACAGATATAGCCTGAGTTATTTAACAATTAAGTTATTCAAAGCCTATTAAGTGGAGTTTTTCCACAGATTAGTAAAGAACTAGCCAGTACCTACAATCCCAGCTACGCAGGAGGCTGAGACACGAGGATCACAAGTTAGAGGTGAGCTCGAGTTACTCAGCTACCATACTTCAAAATTTTTTTGAAAAGCTAGAGATAAAGCTCACTGGTAGAGCACTTGCCTAGAATGTGCAAAGTCCTGGGTTCCACATCCAGTAAAAGAAAGGGGGAAAAAACAAAACAAAACAAAAAACTCCCTCTCCTATAAGAATCTTTTCATTTACCAATTTAAGTTTAGAGATATTATTCTGAGGTAGCATTTAAAATAACGCAGACAAAATGTACAAATTTATTATCACATTAAATAACTCAAGTTTTTCTTCAGGATATCTAGTATTTGCATAAATTTTCAGAGTATGTGCAAACTTTTTGGAAAATTTCTTTTTCCAAAAGAAAAATAAAGGTAAATAAAAGCCATGCCAAACTACTTTTTAAAACTTATTCTGAAACAAACAACCTAGAAAGTTGCAAAGTCTGTACCTTCACCAGGTCCTTCAGTGGTTACTTATGATGTAACTGTAACTGTCTACTGCACAAGACCAAACCCAGGGAACTGCCCATGGAAGCAAGTGCTCTACCTCCTGTCACCACTATGTGAGTTATGTGACCACCACCTCACTGGAGGTACAGAACTAGTCTACTAGGCACAGAAATCTGCTCCAAGTTACCCTTTTTGTCTCTTACATCATTAAACTATTTTCCATTTTTATGCTGTTCTCATTTTCAAAATACGGGTTTAAGATTCCTTATCCAAAATACCTGGGACTAGATGTATCTTGGATTTTGGAGTATCTGTATGTATATCCTGAAACCTAAGTCTAGCAAAAATTAAGTTATGGTTCACACACACCTCATATACAGAGCATGAAGGTAACTTTACAAACATTTTTAGGGCCCCTGAGTTTGACTGTGACAAGTCACACACTCAGATACACAAATTTCAACTTGTGGTGTCTTGCTGACATTCAGAGTTTCAGTTTTGGAGTATTTCTGATTTCTGATTAGGGATGCTCAACCTGTATTACATACACAGAATCATACAGGATGTGGCTTTTGGAATTGTTTTTTTCAATTAACACAATGCCCTAGAGCTCACCCCAGCTGTTGCACCTATCAGTACTTCATTCCTTTCTATTGTGCACCAGGATTTCACAGTATGATGTGTATCAGTTTGTTTACCCTTTCACCTACTGAGCAACATTATAGTTTTTGCAGTTTTTTCCCCTTGTGGTTATAAAGTACTATGAACACTCATGGAACGGTTTGCAGGTAAACGTAAAAACTTTCATTTCTCTGGAATAAATAACCAAGACCATAATTGTTAGGTCGCATGAGGTGACAGTTAACTTGCTGTGTCAGTTCAACAGGGCCAAAGTACAGATATGGGGCCAACATCATTCTGGTTTTTTCCATGATGATGTTTTTGGGCTAGATTATCATTTACAACAGTGGACTTTGGGTAAAGCAGATCGCTCCATAATGACGGTGGGCCTCATTCACCAGATGAAGACTTAATGATGATACTAAAGGTAAGAAGGAATTCTATCAGCAGACAGCCCTCAAAACTAAACCATTAACACTGACTCGTCCTCAGGCTGCCTAGATTTTGGGCTTGCCAACATATGCAACTTCATAAATCAGTTCCTTAAAATAATATGTATACTGGCCCTCTTGATATACATACTGGCCCTCTGTATCCACAGGCTCAACATTCATATGTTCAACCCACAAAAGACTGAAAATATCGGCAAAAGAGTAACTGCAACTGCACTAAACATATACATTCAGTCTTGTCATTGTCCCAAACAACAGAATATTTACACAGCATTTATATCATATTGAATGCTATAAATAATCTATAGAGATGACTGAAAACATACAGGATACGCTCAGATTACACGCAAATCTCTGCCACCCTATGTAAAGAACCTGCACATCCTTGGACTGTGGCATCTACAGAGGGTACTGGACTCGATGCTCTTAGGTGCTGAAGGGTACATGCAAATACACATCCATTAGCAATGGACATATGATCTAATTTCTTCTCATCCTCACTAGCATTTGGTAATTTGGTATTGCCACTACTTTTCCAGTTTAGCTTTTCTAACAAGTATAAAGTGACATTTCACTGTGATCTCAATTACATTAATAGCTATGATATTGAACATCTTTTCATGTGGTCACTTGCTAGTCATACATACATTCTCTTCGGTAAGATGTCTCTTAATGGCTTTTGACAGTTTCCTAATTGGACAGTTGCTTTAATTTTTGTTGTTGTTTCCTGCTGAGTTATGAGAGTTTTTGATGCTCTAATTTATCTTTTTTTTTCCTTTAAGGCTCCTGTTTTCAGTGTTATGTCTAAAAACACTTCATCAGGCTCCAGGTCTCAGACTTTCTTCTATAAAAAGTTCTTAAAAACTTCATTTTTTACATTTTAAACTATGTTCCATACTGTGCTCACTTCGGCAGCACATATACTAAACTTTGGTCCACACTGAATTAAACTGCGTAAGATGTGAGGTTTCCAAGCATCTTTCTTAAATATCTAATTGATCCTACATCACTTTTTGCAAAGCACATCTTTCATCTATTTAGCTACTTTTGTACTGCTGTCAAAAATCAAGCGGCCACAACCCAAACTGCAGGGCTATTTGTAGGTTCTCTACTCCATTCCGGTTTGTCTATTCCTCTGCCAGTACGTCTTCATGACTATAACTATATAAGACGTTTAAAAGAGGAAAGCAATTCTAAGTTTATTACTTCTCATTCTTATTTTGGTTATACTAGTTCCTTTGCTTTTCCATATAACTTTGTAATTTTTTGTTTTAAAACAACAAACTTTCCAGATGTGGTGGCACACACCTATAATCCTAGTACTCCAGAGGCTGAGGCAGGAGGATCATTGTGAGTCTGAGGCCATCGTAGGCTACAAAGTGAGTTCTAGGCTAGCCTGAACTACACAGCTTGATCCTTCCTCAAAAGGGGGGAGGAGGGAATAGACAAAAAACAAATTTGTATGGCATCTTTCTGCACAAGGTCATGTATATCTTCTTCGTATTGTTCTAATTTTTAGTATGCATGCTGCTGAAGCAAGCATTTATAATAATCTTGTATATGGGTTTTAAAAGTTTACTGGAATTTCAGTATGAAATGCAACTTATCAATTTATGAAGAATCAACAACTTTACTATGTTTAGCCTCTCAGTGCATGAACACTGCAGACTATATTTATTTATATCTTTGATTTTTTTATATTGGCTTTTATAGCTTTTAGCATACAAGTCTCTAAAGTTTAATTTTGAGAAAAATGAAATATAATCTTTTACATTTTGGTTTTCATGTGGGCAGTGCTAATTTACAGAAATAAAACTGACTTTGTAAAATTAGGCAGGGAGTGTATTTGGGATTGAACCCAGGGCCTTGTGTTGGTTAGGCAAGTACTCTACATCCTTAGCCCAAAATTGACTGTTGATGTTGTATCATGCAACTTCTACACCATGTTGAATAAGAATGACAGTAAACATCCGTGTGTCATCCTGATCACAGGATGAAAAGCATTAAATCTTTCATCATCAAGTATGATGACAGACATAGGGTTTTTATGGATCTGAATTAAGCTAAGTAAATGAAGCCACAATTTTGTTTTTTTCTGACGTTCTTGCTCCTTAGGGTTCTGAAATCCTTTCTTTTATTATTTGCCTTGAAAAACTGTCTTTTAAGAATAAGTTTGGGCTGGGGATTTAGCTCAGAAGCATAAGCACCTGCCTTGCAAGCACGCGGTTGTGAGTTCAGTCCCTGGTACTGATTAAAAAAAAAAAAAATAGGTAAGTTTGCTGGAAATTGAATTGTCTTAGTTTTCCTTTATTTGAGAATGACTTGATATTTCCTTTATTCTTGAAGGATATCTTCCCTGGATATATACTTTCATGGTTCCTTTGAAAAACACCATCTCATTTCCAACTGGCCTCCAGCGTTTGTGACAAGGAACCCAATGTCATTCAAACTGCTTTTTCCTTTCAAAAGTTTTTGTTTGACTTCAGTTTTGAAAAGTCTGAGTTTTAACTTGACTGAGAGTTGCTCAATTCCATCAATCTATAGGTTTTGTCTTTTTAAATTTAGCAACTTTTTTTGTCTTTTTGAGATAGGGTTTCCCTATGTAGTTCAGGCTTGAGTTCACTTTGTAACCCAAGCTGGTCTCAAACTCACAACGATCCTTCTGTCTCAGCCTTTAGAGTGCTGGGATTACAGCTTCCACCACGCCTGGCTAATTTAGCAATTTTTAAAGCCACTGTTTAATGCTTTTTTCTGTCTATCCTCTGTCTCCCTTCAAAGACATCTATGACAAGAATGTTAGTCTATTATGCTCCCCAGCGTTCCTGGGGTTTTATTTTTCTCCAAAGTCCTTTTGTTCAAACTAGGCAATACTTACTGTTTTACCTTCAACTTCCCTGTCCCCTTTCCATTCCACTGCTGAGTTTTTAATTTCAATTCTAAAATATTCCACCGATGTTTTCTGTCTTCTTTGTTGAGACCATATGTATTTCATGTTTTATGTGTACTGCACATGTTCACTGAGGCAGTTCTGTGATGGCCACTGAAAATACCTGTCAAATAGTTCTAGCATCTCTGTCATCTTCATGTTAGCTACCTTTCATAATTCAAGTTGGGTTCTCCTGGTTCTTTAGATTATTGGTTCTTCAGATTATAAGTGATTTTCAATTGAAATTTGGACACTGTGAATCTTATAAGACTCTAGATCTTATTTAATTATGTATGTATGTTGAAAGCAGAAATCTAAAAGCAGTTTTCAATGCTTGATTTTTAAAAGAGCACACTATGTTTACAGAAGGCTTACTTACTAGTAAGGTTCCCCATTTTTCAAAAAAGTATCTTGTTCCTTTGGGCTTGCACTTGCTTTTAACTCTTTCACTATTACTCGTGCTACACTTGTGCCTGTATAAATCTCTCCAAGGAGGACCTAAAACAACACAACAGCATTTTTTGAGTTATTTTCATCAAAATGATAAAGAAGCATGTCTCACTTACCAGGAAATGGAATTCAAGAAAACTTAAGTAACAACTAGATGGTCTTCTATTACTTTACACACTAACTTACAAAAAGCTTAGACACCTCAGACATTTTTCAGGAAAAGAAGTTATTTAAATCTAAGGGGAGATTAGAAAAGGGGAAGAAGCAAAAATGATTAAGAGACTATACAAGGGTATATATATATCACAAAAGTACTAATAATAAACTAAAAATAAAACTGCTCATCATACAGTTACAACATTTATAACATATGCATAAACATACACACATATCTTTTCTATTTATTTTAAACCATATTTTCAAAGTAATAAACCATGACATTATAGAAGAGCAATCTGAAGGTTCCATTCAAACATAATTCAAGTGCTTCTTGGAAATATTTCAACTAAACTGTCACTTAGTTTGCTTCCCACATGAAGAAGAAAGCTGACAAGCTGCCAATGTACAAACTGCTGTTGTGCTAAAAATTTTTAAATCCATTATATTCCAACAACACCAGTCCTTTACCTTCAGTAAAATCTTCAGGCAAGTACCAAAATTTCAGTCAAAATAGTGAGAAAAAGTTTTACTAACATTAGCAGAACATAAAGAAAGACCTACCTTATAAGAGCTAACTATGAGGAAAATATTAATTGTAAAATTAGGACAGTGCAAAAGCATTCCAAACTACAGTCATTTCCCCAGGGGATTTTAGCTCTGGCTAGTACAAGGACCTGAGTTCGACTTCTAGTACCAAAATATAGTTATTTCATCATCTTAAGTGATAATGGAAGTACAGGTTTTAACTGGAAAATGATCAAAACTAAATGACTTTCTTTTAAAATAGTTTTAGGCATACACATTCTTGTAATCTTGGCTATTTACAAAAATGAGGCAGAAAAATCACAAGCTCAAGGCCAGCTTGGGCAAACTTAGTAAGATCTATCTCACAATAATGATAATAAAATAAATCACAATAATAAAAGCAGCTCAGTGGAACATGTCCCTGGATTTAATTCTCAGTATTGGAAAAAAAATTATTATTATTATTATTTTTTTTGGTATGAGGGATTAAACTTGCGACCTTATGCTTGCCAGGCAGGCACTTACATAGCTGAGCTAAAATCCCCGGACCAAAAAAATTATATTTTTATAAAGTAAATTAATTTTAATACTCTAGATTAAGTAAAAACTTGAACAGAACTCAGTATATTTATCAGGAATATAAAGCAGAAGACTTAAGAGAATAAAAAATTCTGATAATTAATTTATATTTTTGTCTCAAAAGACCACTTTGCGCACATACATAACTATAACAGGTAATAAACATAACAATCTTGAGATGTCAATTTAAAGGGGGTAACAAAGGGCTCAGCTTCTTGCCCCATCATCACTAGCATTGTGCTCACTATCTTCAGGGACAATTCATGTAACGCCTGGACCTCTCAGTTCTTTTACCTCATCTCTGATCATTCTTTTTACTTTCTCAGCAGCTCCTTCATGGGTCTAGGCCTAGCTAATAATCATCTTATGGCCCAAACCTTGAATTCCGACTCTCCTTTTCCACCAGTTTCGTTACCTAATTCACCTCTATGCACCATACATGTCCAATTTGCTCTCTGAATCCAATGCTGACAACAGCTTTCTCACAAGCCTCCCTCACTCCCCTTCTACCCTTCACTCCTTGCTGTCTCTGAAACAGCTCAGCCAAACCCTGGTGCTGGTTACACTCAACTACCAGCCTACAATAAACATCAACAGCCGAGAAAAACACTACCACGATGACTGCTCTTACACATCTGTCAGGTCCTCAGCACCGCCCTCCTGCATTTCACCAGCTGATTCTCTTTCTCTCACAACTTTCACATCTCCTGTTCAGACTTCCTATGTGTCTTTTCTCTCTTAAGGGAAAAACAGGCCTCCCAGCCACTGGAATGACCATCAGAAGTGAACATCCTCATTTTAACACCACCCAATGTACCTGTGTCCACACCCTCTGCTACGACCTCATTAGGAAAGAAAATGCCTCTACCACAGTTCCAAGCCCTACAACTCTAGCAACCCTGACCTCTTGATCATCAAGGACTTTGTGCCTATGACTACCTTTTCTCTCCTGCACCATCAGAGTCCTCCCTACATGCAAATATGCTGAAACAGCTTCCCATCCTATGCAAAGAGTATATCATAAAACCTGTCCCTGGGCCTCAGGATATCCCCAGACACATACTTCTCCAGGTTTCTGTTCTTCTTAAAAGTAAAACTCAAAAGAACTGTCTTTTCCTTTGCCTTTCTTGAACTCTTTCCTTGCAAGGCTGTGCCATTGCTATTTCCCTCTATAGTCTCCTGCCAGGGTACCAAGGATACCAATGTTCCCGAGTCCTCATTCTCCCGGTTTTGATCTTGCTCACTCTGGAAGCTGCAGCACTTCCTGTCATGCAACTGACCTCCTGGACCACATTCTCAGCCAGTTTTCCATTCTCAGTCCACGTTCCAAATGCTCCTCTCAGGAGGCAGGCTCCTTCCTCAGTGGCTGCCTTGACTGCACTGATCTATCCTGCGGCAGGGCTTAAGGGTTTAATACTTTTACTTCCCTTTTATCTTCATCTTGAAGTCCTCAATGAATTCATCTAGACTTGCTGCTTGAAATCCTGTATCATCTGTATTCTGGTTCTCCCTCTTCTGACCTCTTGAACTCTGGACCTGCACTTCCAGTTGCCCTTATAGCACCTAAAGCACTTTAGAACTGTCTGCATAGATAATGAATGCATGTAGAGCCCAGGATTCTGGAGCCAGTCTGAGAAACGAATGAAACTATCTCTCTCTCTCTCTCTCTCTCCCTCCATTTTTTTTTTTGGGACAGGATCTCACCATGTAACACAGACAAGCCTTGATCTTATTATGCAGCCCAGGCTGGCGTGGACCTTTAGTGATCCTCCTACCTCAGCCTCCTGAGTGCAAGGATTATAGGCAGGGCACCTCCAGAAAGCGGCTTTAGACTTCTACCACGCGAATACATAGCAAGAAGTAGAATTCATGCGCCAGAAGGTGAATCAGTCAGCACAACTTGATCTTGGACTTTCTCATCTCCAAAAGGTAAGAATACATTTTTGTTGTTTATTAGTTGCCCAATTTATGCACTTTGTTATGCACTTTGTTATAGCAGCCTAAATGAATCAAGACACCCTTCTAAAAAGAGCTGCACATCTAGGAATGCTAGAGCTCACGTTCCTATGTGGTTACAGGGTACAACAGGGAAACTCTATTCATACAGCAATATCTACACAGAATGTGGAACATCAATTAATACAAATCCTAAACTGATTAATCTGGAGGCAAAAAAATAAAACTGAAAAACACTTTACCTTTCCAAACCAGCCATTTCCAATTTCCTGTATATAGTTTAGACTGTGGCGGGCAACTTGAGACTTCAAACCTTCTGTAGTAAAAAGAAATTAAGAATTTAAGTGTCTAACTAAAATAAATGTTAAATACCTAACATCTGAGGTACAAATACTAATATAAATTTAATGCCTGTGCTAATAAAGTTAGAAACAAATATACAGAAGACTGATTTCAAATAATGATAGAACATTTGCATATTTTAATACTGACAATATTTCTGAATGTGTATTCCACTTGAGTCATTACTACTTTGCACTGTTTTTCTGATCCAACAGTTCTAGTGTGGGAACACCACCAAGTGGACCAATACAGACATAACAGGAGTATTGGAAGGAAGATGAGAATGAGAGAAAAAACATTTGAAGACATAATGGTAAAAATGCCCCAAACCTGCTAAAGGACATGAATCTACACATTCACCAAACTCTAACATTAAGCTCAAAGAGACCCGCATCAAGACATACTAAAATTAAGCTACAGAAAACCAGAATCAAACTACAGAAAACCAGAATCAAACTCTTGTAAGCAACAAGAGAAAGATAACTCATTTATGCACATGGGATCCTCAATAAGATTAATCGCCATTACTCATGGAAAAAAAAAAAAAAGGCAGACCAGAAAGCAGTGGGCTCACAAGACAAGTATTGACTGAAAAGACCAGTGAATCAAGAATTCTGTCTTGGAAAAACTCTTTCAGAAATGAAAGAGAAATTACAATATCCTCAGATGAATGAATGTATAATTTATAGCTAATATACCTGGCCTACAACAAATGTTCCTGCAGGAAGAAACAAAAGGACAGCAAACAGTAACTCGAGCTGTATGAAGAAATGAAGATCTCCGGCAAGCATAACCAAACGGGTAACAGATCAGCCAGTATTGTTCTATTATTGCGTAGAGTTCCTCTTTTTTATTTCCAAAGTGATTTAAAATAGGCTTTAAAATTATAAATCCATGTTAATGGGCATAAAATGAATGAAGTTGTAATGTGTAACAATGTAAAAGGAGGGAATGTGCTGTATGGGAGCAATTTTCATTATGTCAAGTTTAACCCAACTGTTAGAAATGCAAGAGGTTACTTATAATCTTTATTATAACCACTAAGCAAATATCTAAAAATACATTCAAAAAGAATGAGAAGGGAATCAAAATAATAAAACAAAATAATGTCAATTCATACCAAAATCTCAGTAGTGTGTTCTGTAGAAATAGAAATTAGAAACATTAATCGAATTTACATGAATTGCAAAGGATCCCAAATAACAACAAAATTTTTTGAAAAGAAAAACAAAGTTGTAGGACCCACACTTCTCCACTTCTACCACAAAACTCAAATGACAGTAATCAAAACAGAGTGGTATCTATTAGCATAAGGACAGGCATATAAATCAATATAACTCAGAATCCAGAAATAAATTCAAAATAGTGTATTGATTTTCATAAAGGATGCCCAGACAATTCAGTGAGAGAAACAACTCCAAACACCATTATTCAGAAAACTGGATAGCCACGTGGAAAAGAGTTAAAACTAGACCCTTACCCTATACTACATTAAAAAAAGAAAAGAAAGGAAGAAAGAAGTTATTTTGAACACAGAAAAGGGAAATATTTCTTCAACATTAAAAAAGTTATCTGTAGAGATATACCTTAAAAGAACTCTAAAAGAGACTAGTAAATTTTGGCTCTAACAAGACAGTTGACTATATTAACATCAGGAAACCTGTTCATCAAAAAAAATCTATTTTTGTATATATGCGACTTTTTTCTTTTTGTGTGTGCCACTTTGATTTCCTTTTATTTTTAGTGGTTTCCATGGGAATTACAGTTAACATTCTAAATTTATAATAATCTAGTTTGAATTGATACCAACTTACTTCATATATAACAGCACAAACCACTGATGCCCAATCAGCAGAAATATAAATTGGTACAACTTCTGAGGTGGATTAACTGGTAATATCCATTAAAATTTTAAGAACATACACAGTTTTACTATTTCTAAAAATATATTCTACAATAACATACATTAGTACAACAACAATGTTGCAGACACCGTTCGTAAAAGCATTATTTATTTTTTTAAAGCTTTATTTTTAATAGCAAAATAGAAACAATCCAGATACTCACCAGTCACCTGGTGCCTCTTTTTTTTTTTTTAAGATCATCCTGCTGTGTTGCCCAGACTGGTCTCAAATTACCTTTCCACCTCAGCATCCACAGGAATGTGCGCTACCACCCAACCTTAGTGTTCTTTCTTTTCATCTTTACTTATTATCTTACTTGAAGTTTGTATTTTTAAATTAATAATAAAGTTCTCCCATTTATTAGCCTTTTGAATTTCTTCCCATGATTTTCTTCTTTCATAGCCTCAGCTTATCTTTTCTAGTGGAGTTATTTCTTACTCTTTTACTACACATTTGTGTGAGCTCTTATATATGTTATGGTTTGTGTTTAGATGTCCCCCTAAAGCCCCATGCACTAATAGGGGGCAAGCTTTTCAGAGTGTGTATTTAGAGTGTGTGGTGCTGGGATCAAGACTGTGTGATGAGCAAATCAGTCCACTGATTGGTTTGGCACAGCTCCAGCTAGGATTAAGGGTGTGAGAGCTACACCCACCCTAGGGACAGAAAGAGGCTTGTTCTTCTGCCTCTTGTCTCTTTGCTACAGTCTGCCCCATGAACTGCTCTCGTTTGACAAACCACTCTACCTTGAAGCCAGCAATTATGGACTAAAACCTCTACACTGTGAGCTAATAAACCTTTCTTCCCTTAACTTTGGGGGTCAGGTATTTTGTCTCAACCACAAGAGAAAAGCAACTAAGACAATATATAATGATTTTTTACTGCAGTTTACAAATACATTTTGGTATTATGTCCAATCAGCATATGATTTATTTTTCCATGGAGAATTATTTCATTTCATCAATCAGATTTGGTCATATTTTCTTTTATGGCTTTTAGCCTTAGTGTCATGCTTGGAAAGGCCTTTGATAAACCAAGATAATAAAAATATTTTGCATATTCTACGCAGAGAAACTTAAACAGTTTCTCCTTCTATTAAGAGTAATTTTAGAATAGAAGGCTTCAGTAAAACAGAAAGGATGGATACAGATAAAAGTCAGGATGGCTACCTAGCTCATAATTTCTCTGTGTCCCCATCTATTCCAACAGATCTTAAAGAGAAGTTGCCGGTCTCTTACCTGGTTCTCCTTCTACCTAATGGCTCTGAGGCCAATCAGAATGCTTCTCCCAGGTTTTCCTGCTGATCCAAGGACAGAGAAAGACCCTTCCTCTTTGATTGCAAAACTACAAGAAGATAGACCTGGACTTGCCAGCAGCCACATTCATGACAGAAGAGAGATGTCACAGGGGCAAGCCAACACGGACAGAGAAAGAGTGCCAGTGGGGATCAAGGCTCAGCTGTGTCCAAGATGGGCTTCACCACTATTCTTCCTATGGTTTGGGTCTGAGTTTCTTTCCTACTAGTAGATGCTGATCTGAGTTGGGAATTCTACCACTTAAATTAATTCAGAGGGGTTAAATGACAGGCCTGCAAAAGCTCTAAGCAGCCTTTTAAAGCTATTCTTAAGTACCAGGAAAGCAAATTATCAAATAAGTAATAACAAAGTAGTTCTGTTTAGCAATAAGCCTACTAAACTGTCCCAAGAATACAGTAGGTTTCCTTCATTATTCCCGCTGAAGTTAGGTTAATGTCACTTACAAAGATTAAGGCTAAATACTACATGCCATTATTTGCTAATGTTGTGAAACTTATAAACATTAAATACACCTGATTCAACAAATACTTTACAAAAGAGGCACCAGCAGAATCATACTTCATCTTACTTTTTCTTTTAGTTATGTATACCTAAGAGAAGTATAAACTTGAGTTTATACTGCCCTAAACATATCCCACATGGTATGCAGGGTACCACAAAAAGCAGGGCCTGCACCTATAGACTTAGAAACAGCTTTCTTTTAGGAATCTTGGAAAAACTCCCTTTTTGAATCACTATTTGTTATATTCTTTGTTTTTTTTTTTTTGTTTTTTTTTTTTTTTTTTTTTTGACACAGGATCTCACTATGTAGCCCAGGCTGGCACTGAACTTCCTATGTAGCCCAGTTGGCCTTGAACTCACGGCAATCCTCCTGCTTCAGCCTCCTAAGTACTGGGATTACAGGCATGTGCCACCAAATCCAACAGTCATACTCTATTTTATAACAAGGAATCAATTAACATCTAATCAAACTTCTACTTTAAGGAGCCAATCTTATTAACATATCCAGTACTTTCTATCTCTCCACTTGCAGCACATCCCAGAGGAGACAGCAATGTCTGCTCAGCAAGACAACCTAAGTCCAAAGCAGTCACAAAGGACAGGAGCTATGTCAAAGGGTTCGGGTTCAGTACACTAGGGAAGCCGTCCTATTCTTATGCCAGTCCCTAAGGCCAGCAAGGGCAAAACAGCTTCTGCAGGATGTGATGGACCTGACTAGATCACAATTTCACTGAGAGCAGAAAGCAAGGAAACACACAAGCAGAGGAGAAGATGGGCAGCCACTATTTTATGAATGTAACAAAAGGGTTTTTTTTCCATTTTCATTGCTCAGAAGTAATTCATGGGAAGCTGATGTTAGAACATTCGGTCTTACCCACAGAAGGCTGGAACTGTGATGGAGCTGGGAGTGAAATATTTGGTACTGAGAGTGTGAAGACCTCTGCTGGGGACTGAACAGATGGGGTGTCTTCTGCTGGTGGTGTGAAATCTATCTCATCATCAAAATTATCTTCAAATTCCTAAAACCAAAGGGAGCACACATTAAAAATCACTAACACTTTAGGTAGGACAATTCATTCATATGGAGTACAATGCTCTAATTTTCCCTGAAACTCGTACTCATGTCAAATAGAAAAGCATATGTGATTGTGCTCCTCAATTTCAAATAGAACAAGATTTGAAAATAAACTACACATATATGATGTAACTTTAAAAACTGATAGGTTGAATTTAAAGGAAAAATTTTCTATAATAATCATGAATCTTAAAATGAAAATATTCTTCTGCATTTCTAAGTTTATTTTTAAGTTGTAAGAGCTTATCCAACTGTTTTAACATTATTATTTGTTTTCACAAGTCTCTTTACATGCTGAATTAAAACAAATTTATTTTAAAATTTTATATGTAGTTTTTAACTGCAATGTGATTTCTATCAAAATGAAGACAGTTATGAGACATAGGAAAAAATATGTTTAAATGAGTCTATTTCTCTGGAAAGAGTAACAATAGAAAAACTACAACACTGGGCTGGGTGTGGTGGCATACACAAGTAATCTCATCACTTGAGAGGCTGATGCAGGAGAATTTCAAGTTTAAGGCCAGCCTGGCCTACACAGTAAGTTCAAGGTCAGCCTGAACTACACAGTGAGACTCTGTTTCAAAAAGCAAAGCAAAATAACAACAACAACAAAAACTACAACACCTGGTAGAAAAATTATCAGGATCTAAACCACAATGACCAGAGTAAATAAACTGTGTGGTATGCAGGGCTGGGGAGGTCTTGAGTTCCATGCGGAGTATGTCCCCCTTCCAGCAAACAAAAACAAAACACCACAGAACTATGTGGCATTGAAACATAACTACCATAAAGAGCATCCAATTTTCTAAAGATGGTAATTTTAAAAATGAGAATGCACAAATTGGTTATGGAACTTTTTAAAAACTCTAGGGTAGAAATCCCTCTTGACCCTTACTATCCTCATGACTACGATGTGGGTGTTTCTTGGGGTATAGGTTAATAGAGAAATTAGATTAGCAAGTTGCTGGTCTGTTCATGTATCTACCACCTCTCTGGACAGCATACTGAAGCTGAGAACACATCGGTGGACATGACTCTTTTCCATTCTTCTGCCAAAATCCTTTTTCCGTCTTCCTTTTCTACTACCTTCCCTTAGCCCCTACGCAATATAAGAAACCAAAAGTTAACAATGGTAGGTTTCTCTGACATCTATTTTTGATGTATGTGAGAAGCTACTGTCATTATGTTATATGAAAGCACTGAAGGACATTATTTACTATTTGGTGGGAGAGAAGAGCAAGGAAACTGAGACACTGTAAACTCAGTCTCAGAAGGCATTTCTGAACAGAAGAAACTGTTCAGTTTTCATTCAGGACATTCGTAAACGTTCTTCCATTAAAATGACTGGGTCATTACACCTAATTTAAAAATAGTATTTCTCAAAATCTGGCAGCAGAGATGATTTCATGTAACAATAATAAAAGTGAGATGTAGCTGGGTCACTCTTATAGCTACACTAGTGCTTTGTTGGACGAACTTGGGCAAGTCTCTCTACCAGACTGTAGCTTCCTGGTCTCAAGCAACTTCCCTGGGATAGTTCAACTCTGAAACTGCAAACTCTAAATCCAAAGGAATCCAGAGAGTCACGGATGACAATAAATACCCTTATTCAGTCAGGTGAACTCTACAGTGGAGGAGGCCTGGCAACAGAATCATCTAGGCACCCAGGATAACAATACTGGTTCCCAGCCTTGACACCAAGTTACAATCACCTCCCTCATTCAATAACAACATTCGAAATTGTGAGAACAACTGAAGGCAAGTATGAGGTATCACGAAACACGAGAAGGGACCAACTTCAGTGTCAGCAACATTTATCTTTATCTTTGTCCTGAATTGGCCAGAGCTCTGTGCAAAGTCACACAGCAAGACTGACTGTGAAGGGATATAGATCTCTGCTTACACTTGTGCCCTGGACACTGAAGGTCCAGACAGAGCAGGATCTGCAGTGATGTGACTGTCCAGGGGCTGGTGCTAAGAAGAAAGTCCCTTGGCCTAAGCAGGCTCACTCAAGCCTACAGCCTGTGCTGGTGAGCCCTGCCTGCAGCCCTATTCTAAACTTTTAATGTAGACATAGTATTGGGCCTAAGGAGAGCACATACAGAAAAGTCCTCAGAGCTACCACTCTAGATAAAGATAGCACACAATCAAAACAGGAACAATCTGGCTGGGGATATAGCTCAGTGGCATAAGTGCTTGCCTGGCAAATGTGTGAGGTAGTGAGTTTGATCCCTGGTACAAAAAAAAAAAAAAAAAAAAAAAAAACCAAAAAACAAAAAACAGGAACGAGGCTCTAAACATCAGTCTACAGCTCAACCAAAAAGTGTTGATAAGAACAAAATTCTGTTTTCTAACTGGAGCCAGTGACCCTTAGGATGCTTGTGCTTGCCTTAAGTACAAATTAAGGTCATTTTCTCTGCATGCAGGTACTCATGTTCCCCACTCCTTCTCTCCCGTACTATACAGAGCATTAACATAGGTCTGTTGGCATACAGCAAGTTCCAGGGTAGGAGTTCCTATCTGGTTTACTGGTAAGTCTACCCATCAGCAGGGAGATCTTCAGTTACCTCTCCCTAACCAGGATTTTACAGTTGGTAGCACTTTTCTCTGGGAAACTCAAAGTTTCAAGGTAAACTTGAGGTTTCAATACTCTCCTTCACATACAAAACATGGGGGAACCCCTCACCTCAGTGATCTAATGATCACAAATCCACCAGCCTAGAAAAGTTAGGAAAAACACAAAACCTGCCTGGTTCTTCCTTTTTCATGGTAAGTGAAATTGATCATCACACTGTATTCCTCACTCAATAAGAGCTTACAACTCACCGCAAAAGGTGCCATTGTCAGGTATGTTCTAAGGCAGAGGTGGCAAACTACAGCCAGTGAACCAAATTTAAACCACCCATTTATAAAGCAAATTTTACTGACACAAAGCTATGGTCATGTGTTAACAAAATACAGTATCTGTGTTTGACGCAGTACAACAGCACAGCTAAGGATTGCGTAGTTGTCACTGGGACTGGATGGCCTGTATTATTCACTGCTAAACAGGGCAGAAGATATTTCCTATCTGGCCCTGCTGACCCCTGCTTCTAGGAAGCTGGGATATAAGACCATTATATGATAGATAAGCAAGTCACAAGATGATTTCAAATACTCTTGCAATCTGTCCTTACCTTAAAGTCTATTTCTGGGTCTTTACAGCAGGAAACACAGTTTGCAATTAACACTATTAATATCATTAAACTGCACACAGACAGGATCACAAATGTTGAGGGAACTTCTGTAACAGGTGCTTCATCTGGAAAGAGAAAAATAGTATTAAAAACAAGTACATTCCAAAATCAACATCAATTACCAAATATATATTTTCCTTTAGATATAAATGAGACCAAGGGCTAATAAGGCTTAACTGCTAAAGAAAAAGTTGATGGTCAATCTAAGACAAGAAGTTGGTTCTTTTAAAAAATATTTTATTTTGAAATCATCTCGGATTTATCTAGACAATAAATGCAGAAAGGACAGAATTTCCATGTATTTTTCCCCAAGCTTCCCCTCAATGTTCAAGTCTTGAATCTCCATTGTATATCTATCAAGTCTAGGATAGTAACTTTGGTACAACACTCTTAACTGTATTTTCAGACTTCATTCAGACTTACTCTATTCTCCATTAAAGTCCTTTTTTGGTCTTTCGAGTCTGATGCAGGCTACCAATGTTACATTTAGGCTCCAATCTCTTGACAGCTTTTCAGTCTTTCTTTGTGTTTCATAACCTTGACATTTCTTTTTCTTTTGTCTTTATGAGACAAGAATTTCACTATGCAGTTCAGGCTGGCCTCGAACTTGCAGCAAGCCTCCTACCTCAGCCTCTTAAGTGCTGGGATTACAGGCATGTGCTACCACATCCACCTAACATTTCTTGACAGTAGTATTTGTCAACTATTCTGTGGAATAACTGGGTGGTCTGGTGTTTTTGTAGGATCACAGATACCTGGGATAAGTCTAGAATACAAAAGGATGAACTGCTCTGACCTTGTGGAAGATCAGGGTATGTGACTTTGACGATGTGATCTAGGTGGTCTCACCACTCTAAAGTTATTACATATTTCTTTATGAACTCTATCTTAGAAGCAAGTCCCAAAGTCCAGGGCACACCCAGAGAGAAGGGAAATAAGTGACACTTCCTGGAGGGAGGACTGATAAAAGAGTTTACAAGCATTTCAGAAATAATTACTATGGAAAATACACATATTGGAAATGAGCAGATAACTTTAAAGCTATGCAAATATCCTGCTTCTCCTTAAAGTTCTATACAATGATTTTTGCATTTGTCTGCACATCTCATCTACCAGTCAATACTGTGATGTTTTAAAAAATGGTGTTCTAGTTCCCTTGATCCCGCTACACTTGTTTAGAATTCTCTAAGACTTAATTATTTTATCCCGTTGTTTACTCAGTCACGGACTCATAATGCTTGTTCTGTGGGTTATAATTGAATAATACTATCATTTATTTTGTGGCTCAAACTGTTCTGGTTTTCCTTACTGGGGGCTCTCTTCCAAGTTGACTACTGGCTCCTTTGCTGTGCCCCTTCTGATCTTTTTTCTCCAACATTTCCTCACTTTCTGGCACTATAGTAAGCTTCAGACTCCGCTTATATTTTCTTTCTTTCTTTAAGGGATGGAGCCTCAATATGTAGTTCAGGCTGGCCTTAAACTTACTATATAGCCCAAGCTGGCCTTGAACTTGCAGTGCTCCACTTGCCTCAGCCTCTTGAGTGCTGGGATTACAGTCATGTGCCACCACACCGGGCTCCTCTTGTATTTCTTACCCTAGCTCTAGAAGCAGCCAGCTGTCTGAGGATCCCTGGCCATGATAAGGACCTTCTAACATGGAGAAACCACTACAGAAAAATGACTTACACATCACTGCTTAAAAAAAAAAAAAGATAACAAAGACTAAACAACCCATAAAGAGCCAGAAAGCCTAAAATAGTTTACTTTTTGGCCCATTCCTACTTAGAGCATAGAGATTTTACATCTTATTTTTAGCAAGGTCTTAGTTTTCTGGAAAACATTCACCTAGAGTAACTCTGAACCTTTTCTTTGTTAGAGCAAACTGCTAAGTCTTGTGCATTACTAAAACACAAACTTTGTCTTAAAATCCTCATCTATGGGTAATTAAGTGCTCCACTGCACCAACAGGAAGGCAGACACAGGTTAACGATGCCATCATTTTTTCTTATGCACAGCTATAGGAAGGAACCCACCCTGTGAATACGAGGCATTTTTGAGTATAAAATAACTTCAACAAGGATCAGAAGACTAAAATGAACAGCACAGAAGACTGTGTTCTTTGTCAATATCCAAAGGCCAGAGCTGGGCATGCTGGTGCACCTGATGCACACCTGTAAGCCTAGCACTCAGGAGGCTGAGGCATGGAGATCACTGTAGGTTCAAGGCTAGCGTGGGCTACAAAGTGAGTTCAAGGCCAGCCTGAACTGCATAGCAAGACCCTGTCTCAAAAAAACAAAAACAACAACAAAATCTAAAGGCCTACTTGTGAAAGTGATGCTGGATGTGCATTGTTTCCAGTGGTGCCTAGGTGCTGCCCATGCCTTCCTGGCATCTGTGCCCGCAATGACTCCAGTTAACCAAGCGCTGTTAGGTTCTAAGTCAACAGAGTGTACAACAGAGGACAGTCTAGTTTACACAGAAGGATATCTGCCAGCCCCTCTCAAAAACAGTCTGAAGGAAAACTAGTAAAAATTAACTTTCACTGAAAACAAGAATTTCCTAATTAAACATACTTTCCTGCATTTGGCAAACTAAATGATGTAAGGGGCCTGGGCTGCTGGCAGCCAATAGCGTATGAATGAAAACCAACAGGGATCTCTCCTGTCTTCCTCTTTGTAGCTGGCTGTTGTCTTTCCCAGTCTGCCCGGTGCTTCCCCATTGGACAGATTCCTAATAACTGCTTCATTTCCCACATAATCGAGATTAAATATGACTCCTGGGGATTATATGGCAAACTGCTTTCACATCCAGCATGCTTCTATTTTATTCACCTTTAAAACAGCCTGTCCACTGCACTTCAACATGCCTGGAGTTTTAGGTGTATCACACACTTGACACCAAGTTGGTTTAACTGGCAGCATTTCTCCTTCATGGCGGTACAAAAGCAAGGGAGTGACTTCTAACTGATGACATCTGAGATTTGATAGAATACAGCATTATTTCACTCCACTGTCACAACACCTCTGAGGTAAGTGGACCAGCTCCACGTCACAGATGAGGAAACTGATATGCCCTGAGTCCCAGGTGAAGTGGGCAGAACAAACCCAAGGGCAGGTGCAGAAGACAAGTCCCACTTCTCTTCCACACTGTAGCCCCATCTCTGCCACTTAACTTTTCATCACACAAAAAGCCTCATGTACTTTGAACCCGAGTCTATCATCGTTAAATAAGTCAGTTTATAATTCTGATATCAAGTTACCTTTACCTCTCTTTTTACTCACAATTGGTCTTTTGTTGTTCTGTATTTAATCATCACATATCAGGCATTTATTGTAAAACTGGATCAAGATTGCTTGAAAGCCAGCCCAATTATCTGATTCATGGAAGTGGTCTTCTGTGAGTCACCAGGCAGACATGGAAAGTCACATCCACATAAAAAACAACTGAGGCCACTTTTTGCTCTAACTTTCCACAGTATTTCTGCTGCGGTACTACAGAAGAATCTGCACTCTCTTACTGAATTTCCTCAAAGTAGTCTGCAGCTACTCAAACTCAATGCCTCACAGTCCCCTTGAAAGGACTACAATTGATTGCTTGAGAAATTTACCAAGAAGACAATTTTAGTTTCCATTTTGAAAAATTATTTTATTTGCTGGTGTTTTCTTTTGATCAGTCCAAACAACTGTGCCTTAAATAAACTCTACCAGTGGAGGAAACAATTCCTTAAAATGAGGAAGTGAAATTGCAGGCTGGAAAGTGAGACGGGTTTGCACAGGCCACAGAGAGGAAGTAAATTTTAGATGTGGGGAACCACAATTAAAATCCCCAGACTCTGGTGGTCAAACCAAAAATCCAACCTTATAAAGATTCCTGGTTGCAACTGGTAGGAAACTATGAACTCAGTTTTCCTTTAATATCCCCAGCCTACAGCATTCTGAATGCTCAAGTCAAATTAATCATCTACTACAGAAAAATATCAACAGTGACAAGAGCGTTACCATACATTTAGACGGTTTTCCCAACTACACACCGAGGAGGAGGATAATTAGAGGTTTGGGGTACTTAGTGTGCTTCCCCAAGACACTGTTTAAACACACCTGGCTTCTCTACAGTGTACTCCAAGAGTTTTCATTTACAGTTTTCAAAAGCATTTTAATAGCTATCTAGCACTTGACTTCATAAGCAGAAAACTTGAGAAACTCTTAAGAGGCAGGTAGGTACCTATTATCTGCTCCAGAGACAGGTAATTTGGAGAAGGTGGTTTGTCAGTAATGACTTGGGGTTGGTCGGCAACACTACCTGACTATTAATTCAACCATTATAAACCCAGCCTAATTACCTGGTTCATGATGCCTAGAACATCCAATGGGACTTGAACATACATGTAATTAACTACAGACTTGCCTGTGAGTCTGATTTTTGATTCAATAAAAACCATCAAAAGTTCACAGGTATAATAATCAACAGATCACTAGTGAACACACAACGCTGACAGCCTAATTTTGTCATTCCTCTTTGAGCTTTTCACTGATCTTTATAAAGAGAAATTTCCTCCTTCTTACTATCTGGTTACCCAGTGGTTCAAGTCTTAGAAGCAAGGAGAGCCAAGATACTTAAATCTGTCTCTTTAACACCTGTTTACAAGAATGAGTTCGTTTCCCAGCATACTCTAGCAGTTACCAGTCAGGAGTGGGACTGGTATAGTTTGGGTAATCATTATGAACAAATGGATTTTCTGGTGTGTTTCAATCTAGTGCAATTACTTTTATCAGTGCTCATACTATCCTGTCTTTGGCCAGCTGGCACTGAGCAGGAGTCGGCTTCCAAGCCCACTGCCAGAATCAGCAGTCTTGGGGTATGCTGTATCCCTAGCGTGTTCTATGCTTACCTTAGGTATTTTCTGTTGCAGACTTCATCGCAATCATTTCTCCCAGAACCCGGGTTTCCTGGTACCAAATATGTCTAAAGACCCCAGCCTCAGGCATAAAAGCTGCTTACTCAATGCTAGCATCACAACTATGGCACAACACAACCTGGTACTAAAGTGTCTATAACACTGACAACT